GTGTGTGTGTGTGTGTGTGTGTGTGTGTGTGTGTGTGTGTGTACTAGAAACACCAATTGTGAGTGTGGCTCACGAGGAGACTCATTAAACAAAACCTCTTTTCATTGAAGGGATGCTTGATTTCACCTGGGAACCATTGGATCATAGGATTAGAGATTTAGAGCTGGGAGGAACCTTAGAAGCTGCTGAGTCCAATCTCTTCATCTTAACAGAGAGAAAACTGAGGTGAGGATAAATAAAGTGATTTGGCCAAGGTCACACATTTAGTAAGTGTTTGAGGTGGAATTTGAACCCAAGTCTTTCTGACTCTATGTCTAGTGCCCCTATATACTACACTGAACTGCTTCATTACCTATGGATAATCTATACATAGAGTTCTGGCTATTTGTAAAGTTCTGTTGTGATAATTCCTCCATCAAATGAAAAAGAGAAAGAAAAAACTATGCTCAAAGGGCTATAAAACTGTACAATACCCTTTGACACAGCAATACCACTTCTAGGTTTGTATCTCAAAGAGATCATACAAATGGGAAAAGAACCTCCACGTAAAAAATATTTATAGCAGCTCTTTTTTTGTGGTGGCAAAGAATTGAAAATCGAAGGGATGCCCATCAATTGGGGAATGGCTGAACAAGTTGTGGTATATGAATGTAACAGAATACTATTGTTCTATAAGAAATGATGAGCAGGCAGACTTCAGAAAAACCTGGGAAGACTTATATGAACTGATGCCAAGTGAAGTGAACAGAACCAGGGGAATGTTGTACACAGTAATAACCACATTGTGTGATGACTGGCTTTGATAGACTTAGCTCTTCTCAGCAATGCAAGGATCTAAGACAACTCCAAAAGACTCATGATGGAAAATGCTATCCACATGCAGAGAAGGAACTATGGAGTCTGAATGCATATCAAAGCATACTATTTGCTCTCTTTCTCTCTTTCTCTTTTCTTTCTTGTGGTTTCTCCCACTGGTTCTAATTCTTCTTTACAACATGACTAATGTGAAAATAAAAAAAAAATAATTCCTTCATCAGTGAGGTAGCATGTTGGCAAAAGTCTAACTGTTCTGTCCTCCATTTATTAGGCTTGCTCTGATCCTGAAGTCCCTTCCCGAAAACCTCCTCCCTCATGAATCCTGCCCCGTAGATACATCCTTTCTGTCCTGTGCCTTTTGCTTCTCTAATCTCCATTACGTTCAGTTCTAACTGTGGGATCTTGAACAAATTATTCCTCTCTTTGCACCTCAGTTTCCTCCTTTGTAAAATGAGAAGATTGGATCAGATAATCTCCAAGGTCCCTCCTAGCTTTAGCATTCTGTGATTCCAAATATTTCTTGGTTGGACCAGTCCTCTAGAACCTATGGAGAAGATAAGAAAAGAGGCAATCTCCCAGGAA